ACCCTAACCCCCCCCAAAAAAAAAAACAAAAAGGGCAAAAGGGTACTACTGCGGAGCCTTGTTTTTTGAATCACCAGAGCGGAGCCAACGATTTCGCAAGAAGCTAGACGAGGGTCTGAGGGTTTAGGGAGGGTTTAGGGTCTAGGGTCTGAGGGTTTAGGGTTTAGGGGTTTAGGGTCTAGGGTCTGAGGGTTTAGGGTTTAGGGGTTTAGGGTCTAGGGTCTGAGGGTTTAGGGTCTTAGGGTCTGAGGGTTTAGGGTCTTAGGGTTTAGGGTTTGGGGTCTGAGGGTTTAGGGTCTTAGGGTAGGGGTATCTTATCGAGATCTGTTGAAGAAAAGCTAGGGAACAATACTACTCATCGGTCCGGCCCCTACCCAGAGACTCCAAAACCCCTTGATTAAGGAATATACCTTAAATTAGTATAAGAGCCCTAGTAAGAATTAAGGTATATTCCTTAAATAAGGGGTTTTGGAGTCTCTGGGTACACTCAACAGTTCTGGTCCCAGGTCCGTTTGGCAAGCACCAGGCTAGAGGAAAGGAAACTGCCACCATGCTTGGACTCGCCACCACGACCGAAATGGAATTAGACTGGCGGGACCATATTATTGTTACGATTATTACTATTATTATTACTATTATTAATTCAGATGGCTACAACTCTTGTATGTAACTTCAACATGCGACCAATCACATGAATTCTTCAGCTAAGTACGCGACTGTTCAAGCTGAGAGGCTCGGTCTTCCAGTTACAAACCGTTAAAACAACTCAAAAAAACACCTGAAATTTCAACGGCAAGGAGCACAAGTGGAGGAAAACTACTAACTGAGTCATGGCTCTGGTGAGGTTCAAAATGCTTCATGGTCCTCTGTCCGAGGTCGGCATAGAAGTCAAGAAGCTGACGGACGCTTATGCCACGACCTCGTAATGTCTGGAAGTTGTGTAGGGACGCGGGGCCATGTACGGTTGAGGGTCTAGGGTTCATGGTGTTCTGAGTAGCATCAAGAATCCCTAGTCCCGGAATCTCTGCAGCTGGCAAGAGCCTCGTTGCCGTTCTCTTTAAAGTCTGCTGGGGCTCCCAGTTTTCGGAAACTCCCCGCCTGCTAGATCTCGGACCTTCTGGTGCCAGACTTCGCTCGCAGCACCTTCCGACTCTGCAGCTGTCGAGGATCCGGCTTCTTTGCCCTCCGTGGCAAGCTGCAGATCCAATCCGAACTTCTTAGGTGGGGAAAGAGCCTCCCCGGAGAGCGCGCAGATGCTAAGTTCAGTGCCAACGCTGGACAGCAAAGTGGCGAGAACCGGCACCACGACCAGCTTTCGAACAACGACCACTGCGAAGCTGAACATCCACTTCGCCTGGGTTCTGAAGAACCCAAGTGGAAACGATGTGAAAAGGTCTTACGGCTCAAGGCTCCTGTTCTTACTAACAGAATCCATACAAGTCCCTAAACCCTAACCCCTATAAGCCCTAAACACTACACCCTATAAACCCTAAATAGCCGAGTCGCCTCATCGCCCTCAGAGAGGTTGGCTAGAAAGGCGGTCACGACAAGCAGGTAGCCTTGGTTTCCCGGTATGTCTCCCAAAAGCCTAAACCGTCACGGTTTAGGGTTTAGGGTCTCCCAAGCCCCATCAGAAAAGGGCACCAAAAAGGGTACTTCTGAACTACCGCGTGGCAGAGGGAGAGGCAGCTGCCAACCAGCCAAAAGCCGATGTCCTTCAACTGCCTTCCCAGAAGCCTGCTTTAAGTGATCTTAAAACAGGCTTCTATAAGGCTTCTCCCGAAGGACTACCATGGGGGATCCAAGGATGATCTTATAACAGGTTTCTATAATAGGCTTCTCCTGAAGGGCTACCATGCGGGATCCAACTAGAATAGGTTTCTCCTGAAGGGAGACTATGGGGGATCCAAGGATTTCTTGGGGAGTTTCTGCACTAAACACGAGCAAATAGCCATGTGCCTCTGAGGGTTTAGGGTTTATAATAATTAGGCTTTAGGGTTCTGCAATAAAAGACAAAATCACTAAGCTTATCAAGCGGCTGCTGTGTGTAATGTTCGTGGCTCTTCTGCACGAAACCCCGCTGTGCAAGTCGGTACTCCAGACTGCGCGGGACGCAGTTGAGGAGCACGGAGAACAGAGCAACGAAGGTGTACCACAGGAAGCTTCCTGTGAGGTTCACAAATGACGGACCCGAGGATCGTAAACAATGGCACTCTTGTATGAAGGTCGCCCAAAAGGAGTCACTCAACCCTGCACCCGGGGCCCTTAGGCCACTTAGGCCGTATACAGGGAACAAATGCAAAGAAAGCCAACGTGAACATCCACACTGGAGCCCCAATAGAACTAAAACTTGTCATAACTAGATCACCACTGAAAGAGGGAGCTCGTTGCGTTCAGAACCCTCTCCTTGCTCAATCGGGCATTCTTCTGGACTTCGCGCGCCCACCGCCGAGCCATCCACAGAAAAGAACAGAGCCACAAATGCCAAGGATCCTCGTGGGGCTTTGCTTAAGGCCAGAGAACTTAATGTAGAAAGATGTTACCAGCTGTTGCAAGGTTGTCTTGGGTCTTATGGATTTTCAGAGAAGTTTAGCAAACTGAGAGGTAGTTGCTTTAAGTTAACAGTTAACCTCTGCATAAGTGGATGTCGAGTTTCCTCATTTGTCACCTGAAAGTCAGCAAAGTTATTCGGTTTCATTGGGGTTCCAAGACATCGAGACTCCTCAACCTGAAACCTTAGGATCTGTATCGCGGTTCTGCAACGGTGTTGTTGGGTTCTGTGTGGGATTGTCTCATAGGGTTTCGGGTGCTTGGAAGTGGGTCGCTGGCAAAGGTCTGGGGCTTACAGGACCGTGCACAAAAGGGTTTAGGGAGATATAGACCCAGAACCCTGAAACGCTACGATCCTAACTCCAAAAACTCCTGAAAAGCGACCCGAATTCTCTGCATTTCCATCAAGTAAAGTCACAAAACCCTTACAGCAACCTCAGAGAACGCGATAGTATAGACCCTTTAAAACCCTCATGATCGATTTGTTGGATACTTACATAGAACCCTGCCTTCTCAAACCTAGAAAGTTCAACAAGAGCCTCGGCTAGCACCTTAAAAGCAAAACCCCTGTAAACCTTTAGAGGGCCCTTAAAGGGGTACTCGATGATAGAGCCCTATAGCACCCTTAAAAAGAAGCAACGACCCCTTTAGAAAACCTGGAAAGGGTCCTATACACGGATCTATACATAAGGGGATCTGTAAGGGTTCCTTCAAAAGAAACAACCAACTAATCTCCACCCTGCACCCCTATAATTATCAGGGGATCATCAGTCTAAAGGAATCCCTCCCTGAAAGAACCCCCTCCCTAAACCCTCATGCTGTTGATTTTATAATTATAAATCCTGCATTACCTTAAAGACCCTAAACTATGGGAATTATGGCATATTCCTTATTATGGGTTATGCAGGATTTATATCATCAACCGTAGGACCCCAAAGATCTCCAAGGACAAGGCTCCCAGAATTTCGTCCCCTACAATCTTGGCACGCTTGGCTGCGGTGATGTGCAAGTCGCACATGCAGAGCTCATATCTCAGCTTGTTTTAGGCTTGAGGGCTCAGGGGCGGGTTTCTTTGGGGCTTTTGTGATCTTGTGAATGCTTACTATAGAGTTTAAAGTTTAGGGCTTGTTTGAGTTTGGGGTCTAGAGCTTCGGTAGAGGGTTTTACGAGGTCAGAGTTGAAGGTTTTACGGTAGAGTGTCGAATTTCAGTAGGCTTGGTCTTCGGGTTTGAGGTTCACGTTTGTCACGTCTGTGTTGAAGTCAGGCCTGGATTTGGTAAGTGTGCGGCCCTCCGGCAGCAGTAAGACACACGAGGGAAGGTAGCTTGTTCACAAGGGCTACCTTTTTTTTGACCAATCCAAGCTCACGTTGGCGGAAGGGCATTGAAAACCTGGACTAATCCTTCTGTCTCTAAACCCTAGTGAATCCGTCGTGAGCCTGGAGCAGAACCTGAACCTCAAGGTAACCCCTACAACCAGACTGAGTTCGACCCGCGACAGCCGCGGATGATCCAAAGAGAAAGTAACTTCAAACCTCAAAACACCGTGTTCGAAGCTACACCCCTATAACCCCTAAGCCCCATTATAAACCCTAAACCCTAACCCTCCAGGTACCTACTATAGAGGGTACTAGAGCCCCTAGGGCCCTAGATACTAGGTACCTGGCGGGTTAGGGTAAAGGCTTAAACACCTCTTTGTGTCAGTCCGGGTACACGGGATGCGTGGTCAGCATGGCGGCCCGCACGCGAGCCAAGCGCGAGGTGTGAACTCGTACGAAAGCTCTCGGCAAGCCTTCTGTCGGAAGGGTACATTACGGTTTAGGGTTTAGGGCACCCTATAACCCTATAAAACCCTATAAACCCTCGGGGTATGATAGGTCCAAGTACCCATTATTTCAGGACTTTGGGGCCTTTTTGGGGGCACCTAAAACCACAAATAAAGACTACTTGGACCCTTAGGGTAGGGTATTGGAGGGTTCTATAGAAGGGGTCCTTCTTGGGGATGTAGCTCCTTTAAAAAGGATGCTTCAACATATGTGTGTATGCTTTCCATTCGGGCTTTCATAAGGAAGCATCTTGTCAAGATACCCTAAACCCTAAACCATAAACGGTTTCGGGCCCCGGTGCTCGAGATTTAAACAGCAACCGCAGCCCAGTCCCTGAGCCATGCCTCGTTCAGCCCAGCCGTGCATCAAGCCTTCGAGCCCTGGACCCTGAAGCCTTCACAGTAAGGGTTTAGGGTTTTTTTTTTGAGGGAGGGTTTAGGGTTTAGGGTTTATGTTTATGGTTTAGGGTTTATGGCCTAGGGTTTAGGGTTTAGGGTTTAGGGCCCAGCCTTCTTCCAGCTTGATGGCTAACTCCTTCAGCTTTGGAGACGCCTGCATGGCTAAGCTGCCCTGGATCCAGCCACTCTTACCTCGAAGCATCAGGGGTGCCCGCTTGTGCATTGCAGGACTCTTTTCACTAAGTCTCTTGATCCCAAGGTTGAAGCACCCGGCTCTTCCGACAACCCGAAGAAATCATCACGAAGTGCTTCTGAACCTTTGTCCGAACCCTCATAAGTTAATGCTTGCAGTATTACACTTGTTACGCATAGCACATTTCGAGACTTTCGGGATTTGCGCATCTCACCTAGCTAGGACGACCCCACATCTTGGCTTGACGATCCGGGTTTAGGGTTTACCCATAGGCCCCTGAGTAGTTCCTTTTTGGGATTACCTTATAGGATTCTACCTATAGTCTCCATTGTAGTTCCTTTTGTTGTGGTTTAACCAATTCTACATGAAGGATCCTAAAAGGTAACCCCAGAAAGGAACTACGATGGAGACTATAGGTAAACCATAAAAGGGAACTACTTAGGGGCCTATGGGTAGTGCTCAGCAGACCCTGGAGTCTGCTCAGGGCTTCAATAGACCGCGACATCCCTGTGTTTGTCGCTACGTAAGCGGGGTCTGAACGTATCCACCTGAGGGTCCATGTGCCCATATATACTTTGTAGTCCCTATTTCGGTACTTTCGGGCCCAAGTATATACTACTTTGGGTACATGGACCCTAAGGGTCCGAGACATTGGCCAAGTTGCCCCAGATGTGGCTTTCGATGGAGCTGGTATGCCTTGGCTGCTCTCCCTGTATAAGGTTGCTCTTTTGCGAAAGTATACACAATCCTGAACCCCTGGGTAACCCTAAACCCTGATGTATCCCTAGACCCGTTAATGAACGAGGTCTCTCTGAAGTGCCTCTCAGCTGCCCGCCTCGGCGATGGCTCGTGCATCACGAGGCATGAATTAAAGTAAAGCTCCAAACACACTCACACACACTCACTCACTTATCCATCCTCACATAGACCCTAAACCCTAAAACCCTAGACCCTAGACCCTAAACCCCCTGAGGGCCTCAGAGGACATCTAGAATCTAAACAGGAGTCGCTAAAGGCCAAGGGTCTGCAAGGGTCCAAGCCAAGTGGAAGTGGATCGGGGGGGGGCGGGAATGTGGGGGGGTTGTAGTAGAGGAGCCTTTTGACTAGAACACGGCTTTGGGGTACTTGAATTCATAAGGGCCTAAGAAGTCAGAATCTGGCGTTGAGGTATATTATACGAGAATCCCCCAACAGTGTTGGTAATGATTTCGGCCTCAAATAATTAAGTCTCAGGTACACGGGCGCTGGGATTCACTCGGCAAAGACGTGGGCTTCCGTCACAGCTTGCTTTGAATAACGAGCCGAACCTTGGGATCCTGACCCTAAACCCTAAACCCCTACACCCTAAACCCTGAACCCGAAACCTTAGCTGAAACCCCTCAAACCTTACGGCCCACTGTTGCCGCCAGACAACCTTCAACCTGAGCCCTTTAACCCCAGACCCACCAGGGTAGTTCTCGAAACTACCCATAGGCTCCTAAGTAGTTCCTTTTTGTGGTTTATATTTAGAACCCTATAAGGTAATCCCAAAAAGGAACTACTTAGGAGCCTATGGGTAGGGTCCCTTTTTGGGGGATCACGCTCAAAGAAAGGGTGCCGTATTATTTTGGGGACCTACAGTTCCTAAAGAGGGACCCCTCAGCTAAAGAAGGACCCTCATTTTAGAGAACTACCCTAAACCCCTAAACTCCTAAACCCTTAAACTCCTAAACTCTAAACCCTAAAGCCCCTAAACCCCTAAAGCCCTAAGCCCGAATGCATTCAGGGTCTACCCTTCTGGATCTCTATAGCCGCGGACCAGGCTGCAGCCTGTACTCTCTCGCAACCTCCCACAGCGTGTTTCGGTAGATGACAAACTCCCTCAGTCCGGCGGCCACCTGGCATCGTCGGCTCTAGGGTTCAGGGTTTTAGGGGGTTAGGGCTTTAGGGCTTTAGGGGTTAGGGTTTAGGGTTTTTTCGGGTTTTAGGGTTTTAGGGTTTAGGGCTTTAGGGTTTCGGGTTTTAGGGTTTTAGGGTTTAGGGTTTTAGGGTTTTAGGGTTTTAGGGGATAGGGTTTTAGGGTTTTAGGGTTTAGGGTTTTAGGGTTTAGGGTTCAGGGTTTTTTTCCCTCCCACTTAGCAAGGACGAGCCCGCATTGCAGGGTGATGTGTGCCGACTGGGTTTAGGGTTTAGGGTTTAGGGTTTTAGGGTTTAGGATTTCGGGTTTAGGGGGACTAAAGGAGGGACCCTTAAAGGGACCCTTGGGGTTTTATATAGGGGCTGTATGAGACTCTATTAGGGGGTATATAAGGGGCATATAGGGGTATTCCCTTCTACGGTCCCCTCCTATTGGCCCTGCGCCGCAATGTAGGTGCCTTTACAAGTGGAATAATAGGCTTTGGGCGGTTTTGGGGCTATGTTAGGCTGTATTGAACTCTATCTTTAAAGAAAGCGTCCGGAAGACAAAGCCATAATGCTACTTTGCTGTTCAGGTCTTTAAAGTCATCCTGCTAGGACAGCCTACCGCTATGCAGAGGCCAACTGCAAAGCCCCATAAGGTAGTATCAATAGGTACACTACGCACAAAACTCAGACTCCCGCAGCCTCCGGAAAGTTGAACCCCGAGAACCCTGAAACCTTCTACCCTAAACCTAAAACCCCTAAACCCCTAAACCCCTAAACCCCTAAACCCCAAACCCCTAAACCCCTAAACCCCAAACCCTAAACCCTAACCCCTAAACCTAAATCTCCTAAACCCCTAAACCTCAAAAAAAAAAAGCAACCTTAAACCCAGGGGTCCTCTAAGCCTGGAAACCGGGGGCCTGCCTTTTATGAAGTCCTACATACCCCCAGCGCCCTTTTTAGTCCCCGAAACGCCGAGCCTTCAAACCCCAAAAGCTTACCCATAGGCCCCTAAGTGGTTCCGTTTTGTGGTTCATGTTTAGGATCCTATGACCCCAAAAAGGAACTACTTTGGAGCCTATGGGTAGTGGTAGCTCTAGTGAGTTTTATAAGGGCTTCGGATTGAAGGTTCATCGGGTCTCGTGTCTCTTCATGCTGGATAATCGGGCTTTTCAGCCCCGAGCCCGATACCCTAAACTCGGCCAGGCGGCATCTAGCAGCATCTGCACGGCCTCTAGTTGGCCAGCTGTGGCGGCGGCATGCAACGCATTGAAACCTAGGCGGGTCAGAGTTTCAGCTGCTCCTTCAAGCTGCTCACCCTAGTTCAACCATCCCACACCCGAAACCCCACACAAACCCTAAGCTCTAAACCCCACGTGCCGACCCCAAACACAAAACATCTCCAAAAACAAACCCCAAACCCTCCACTCCTTCCAGTACCCTTCATAGCAACCCTTCTGGCACCCGAGCGGCCATCAGGTTTGTGGTGCTCATTGAAGTCATGGTGGTAGCCATTGATCGGGTCCTCGCGATCGAGCCTCGGTGGACACGCAATGCATGACGTCCTTGTCTAATTAGGTCCCTAAGTGTCCATGTACCTATATGATAGAGTGTAATTCTGTTATGTAAATCTCTATCTATCTATCTATATATATATACACACACATACGTGTAAACAACTAAACACATAACCCTAAACCCTAAACCCCGAACCCCAAACTCCAAACTCCTAAACCCCGAAACCCTTGCCTCACCGAGGTGCATCTTACCCAAGAGCTCGAGGTCGCCCTCGTGCGCTGCCTTCACAAAGCGATCCAGCGGCCACTTGCTGTAGCCACGGGGGTTGATATCCTGTCTTTCGGAAAGGGTAGGGGTTTCGGGGTTTAGGGTTTAGGGTTTAGGAGAGATCGGGGCTTGATATCCTGTCTTTCGGAAAGGGTAGGGGTGTAAAAGATCGGGGGGGTTGATATCCTGTCTTTCTGAAGGGGTCGGGGTTTAGAGATTAAGGTTTGGGGTGTAGGGTTTAGGGTTCTTTGCAGGGTTCTGCAAAGGTTTGGGATTTAGAAGGCTTGGGGTTCGGGGTTTAGCGGCCTGAAAAACAAGCAAGGTTCCTGTGTGGGTTCTATACAGACTTTATAAGGGGGGGGGGGGGCGTTGAGGGCTCTATAAAGATTCTTCTATGGGATACAACCAGGATTTGCGAATGAAGTCTTCCGGAACACTATGGCCGACTAAGGGGTCCCTTGAGGGTCTCGCTGTCTCACTAGGATCCAGGATCCACGTGCCTCATAAGAAGCTACGAGTAGATCACAAGGCTTCCCCCTAAACCCTTAACCCTAAAGTCTAAAGCATCCATAATAAGGGTTCACGGAGGCTTCTAAGAGGGGCTCCTATGAAAGCTCTCTGCGGGTGGTTTAAGCTTTGTTTGGCTCCTAAACCCTAAAGATCCGCTAGAACAGAGAGGCCCTATCAAGGACCTAATAATCATATTCCCCCCTTTCTGAATACCCGAGTCAGCTGCCATTCGTACTTTTCGGGGCTTAAAGTTTTGATAGGCCTTAGCACTCGGCCCCGCAAACCCAAATACCATATGAATATAGGCACTTCGGTGTAAACCCTAAACCCTAAACCCTAAACCCAACGATTATATAGGCTAACTATAGGCACTTCTCGGTGTAAGTACTTCGGACCCTCAGCCTGAGGCTAGCTGTGTAGGCTTGAGAGGGAGGGTTTTGGAGTCTGGGGAGGAAGTCTTCACCTCAGCTCCAAAAAGCAGGGTCTAGGGTTTAGGGGTATTTAGGGTTTGGGGGTTAGGGTTTCGGGGTTTAGGGGTTTAGGGGTTTAGGGTTTAGGGTCTAGTCTAGGGGTCTAGGGGTTTAGGGTTTCGGGTTTAGGGGTAGGGCTTTAGGGGTTTAGAAGTTTAGAGGTTTAGGGTTTAGGGGTTTAGGGTTATCATGGTTCAGGGTTCTCAACAGCTCAGGGTGTCGAGACCCAAACCGCCGAAGCCCTACACACCTAAACCCTAAACCCCAAACCCCAAACCCTAAACCCTAAACCCCAGCCCCTAAACCCCAAAACCTAAAACC